CAAAGTAAATGGCAGATTAGTACTGCACCAGCTTAGTCATCAGACAATGCATAGTTTCTTCAGTGATTCCTAAATTACTAAAATGTATACCGTCTGGTGAACTTTGTAATTAGTCATCATTTTGCATTCACATACTGTTTTTCTCCCTGAAACATGATACCTTTGTACTTAAGGAGGGGGTTGGGCATGGTCTTGGTCAGTTATGTATGAATTTTGATTTTTAAAGAATATTTTACTAAATAAAAGTAGGGCTGCCAATTCCCCCCGGGGGGCGGATTTCCCCCCCCTGCTTTGGAGGCCCAATTTCCGCCACCGCGGAATTGAGCCCCGGGGGAAACTCCGCCCCGGGGGAAACTCCACCCCGGCGTGCACGTCACCCGGATGTGACGTGATGATGCCGGGCACGCTGGGGGCGGGGCCACGGCCATTTGAGGGGGAAACATAGGCGCGCGCTCAAGACGCCGAACGGGAGCCCCCCGCCGCGAGGTAAGAACGATTTGGCAACCCTAAATAAAAGTAAGGAAGTAAATTTGTCCAAAATGTATACAGCAGGCTGAAACAATTCCAGATTTTTTAACAAACTGTAAACTTGGGGTTTTTTAAATCATTCATTGTTACGTTTTCTGTTGATTGGACATAAAGTAATGCATATCTTTAAAAAAAAAAAAACACCTCAGCAGTAACTGTTTAAAATAATCTATTTAAAATGTCTGCATCCACAAGGTGGCGCAATGAAGTACACTGTGTATTCCTTTTCCTGGAAATGAATATTTCCCTGGAAATGAAAATGGAAAATTTCCCAGGCTGGTAACAATACATCAGCCGTCTCTCCCCCCACCACCGGCAATTGGCAGCACAGCTGACATTTCCAAACTGAATTTCTTATTGATATGTCTAAATGTGATGGATAAAATCTCTGACACCATTAGCACTGCTGAGGACTCAGACAATCGGACCGAATAACTAAATGGTTTCCCTTTTTAGAATATGCTCTTCACGATGCTTCAATAGTGTCACAATTTGTGCCTCAGGAGTTCCACGGAATTATTAATTATTTTCAAGATCAAGTTGTACTTAAGATCTTTGATTCACAGTTCCAGCAGGTTTAATGTTAGTTATGGAACTGTGTGTTCCACTGTATTTTATTTGTTCTGTAGTTACTGTTAAATATTTGTTTAATTGTTTGTACTGGTTAAATAACAAAAACAATTTAAAATGTTTTTTTAAATAAATAAATAATAGACTAACAAATATGTTTCTTGCCAGGAAAATCTACAATCTTATGCGCACCTGTGCTGAAATCCCACTAAACACAGTGGGACTTCCTTCTAACATGGGTAGGACTGCACTTTCTGGTTTCTTTTAATATCAATTTAGAATATTTCCTCCTTGGCAGTTATGAGAATTCATGTATTTACCTTATTCAGGACAAATCTGCCCCTGCCCTTAGGGAAGAGCAACACGATAGCACATATCCTTCTGGAGCGTCCTTCGTATGCTAATCTCAGGTGTTATATTTCACCATGTTTGCAAGCTCATTCTGACGTATAGTTGGATGACCTGGTTACCTTTTTACTTCCTGACAGGGATCCAAAAAGAACTCCAGCAATTGCAAACATTTTTTACTTCTTTTGTCTGTTAGGTGATAAATGATTAACAACAACTATTTGCTGCTCAAGATCAATGTATCATAGAACTTTTATTGGATAAAAGGAAAGGGTCTGGGATACCAATAACACCAGTGAATCAGTATGATTGGATGATTTCATGGAGTTTCGAGCAGGCCCGTAGCCAGGATTTTTGTGGATTGTGGGGCAAAAACTTTTCTGGTGGGGCTGAAGTTCTCAGTGCCATTTAGCCAATACAGAGTCGTTACCAGGATAGATCTCTAAATTGCAAGCTGCCAACCACTTTAGATGGCAATTCTCAGCTGCCGCAAGTTAATCATTTCTGCCAGCCTAAGCAATAATTCTGATAACAAGCCAGCAGGTGGGGGTGATGACTTCTATCGGCAAGGAAGCTAACACAGGCAGAAAAACTTTTTTTAAAGGAGACCAGTTTCTTGACACAGAGTGAGAAGGGCTCATAGAGGTCACCTACTCCAACCCCCTTGCTCAGTGTGGGAATTAGTCAACTACACAGCACCAATGTTCCCTCTAAGCTGTGGAGTCTTATGAGCAAAAATTCTACTATGCGAGCTACTGGCATTAAAGTTGTGAGCGAGCGATTTGGCTGCTGCATAAATTAGTTTGCTCTGGAGCCCTCTTTCCTGAGCTAAGACAAAAACGTGTGAGCTGGAGGCTAAAAAACTGTGAGCTGGCTCACACTAACTCAGCTTAGAGGGAACACTGCACAGCATCCCTCTCCCTTTAAAGGAGTGCACTTCTTTAAAGAAATGCTTTAAAATGATTGAAAAAAACATTTACAGGAGAAACTCTTGTGGGGCTGTGCCTTTAAGAAAGGGGGCAGCACCCCAGCCCCACCATAGCTACAGGCCTGGTTTTGCCATATAAGCTTTTGAAAGTCAAACTGCCTTCGTGTCTGATGAAGGGGGCTTACTCTCTAAAGCTTATAGCCCAAAACTCTTGTTCGGTCTCTAAGGTGTTACTGGACTCGAATCTCCCTGTTTTATTGTAGACCAGCATGGCTGCCGTCTGAAATCTCTCTCCACGGAGTTTGATTCTGTTGCTGCTGATTATCGTATTGTTTTGCTGCTTTGTGATTTTTATTGTTTTCACTGTTTCTTGTAAATACCTTGAAACCTTTTGATACAGGGGACAGTTAAGAAATTGAGGAAAGAAATGTGCCCAGGGGATTATTCACTAAAGTATCCTGCAGAATCTCCATCCATTTCCTCCCCCCACCCCCCGAAGAGTTATTTCATGGAAAACCAGAATAAAGCACTGGGAGACACGGACTTTTATTCAAACTGGTTTTTATTTCTTCCTTTTTTAGCAATGTGCAAAAGTTTTGGAAACACCATCCCGGTTTCCAACAGGTGACTAATTCCATGCAGCTCACGCACAATCACAACTACATCCTCTGAGGACGACAGCAAAGATAATGCTCCATAACAATTACGGTACAGACACGTAAATATCATTTATACAACTTGCCTTTCATAAAAGACTTCGTTAAACTTTTTCACATAAAAAATAATAATCAGCACAACGGCTTGTTACTTTTCTTCCTATGAGGATACAAAAACCACGTTTCTGCCTTTATAAAAAGCATTCATTAAACACCTCGGATGCAAACGTGCTGCCTCAGAGAGCCAACTGTGATTGAAGAACATCTTCTACGAACTATTGTCACAGAGTAACTCCCCCCACACACACACCCTTAGCAATACTTTCTACAAATATTATAGAGCTGAAGGCTAGGTTATGCAAAAGGGTCTGCTGTGTTTGTGTAAATGGCTAAAGAGTATAGATTTCCCAGGGTTTATCTGAGTTGCTACCTTACATTGGTTTTACAATAGTTGGCTTCCTTCCACCCCACAAGGAATCCTTGGAATTGTAGTATGGTGAAGAAGCTGAGAATAGTTCCCTAGCCTTTCTCACAGGACTACACTTCCCAGGATTCCATCTTAAGAGGGGATGACTATCAGACGAACCGGCAGAAGGGATTTCTTTTATATTTGCCTACAGAACTGGGATACAGTAGTAGCCACAAAACTGAGCTAAGTACCAGAAATCTTGCTTCTGCCATGAATTCATGGCCTTCGGCAGACCACTGTAGATTAGTCTCAGTCCTGCCGACTGCAATGTGAGGATAAGAATACGGATCTGTCTTACAGGGTTGTAAAGAGTACAATAAGATTTTTGATGGGATCCAAAGGTGTTTCTTTTGCTTGTGGAAGGAAGCGTTCTACAAATGGGGGGAAACACCCTGGATCCAACCCACTGTAGGCCGTTTGAATATTTGAATGTGCTATGCCAAAGAGTATCCCTTTCCCCGCCAGCCCCCTTAGCTTGGAGGAGTTAAATCACCTTAGCTCCTATGCTGTCGTGGAATAGCAGATGTCGTGGACTAGCAGGTAGGAGCCCTTTTGGAAACCTCAGCCTGAACTTCTTAGAAGTTACTTGTCTGCAAAAACGCATACACCCTCCCCAATACACAGACAAGAGATCCCTTTTCTGTCCCCTGAGAACAATAGAAGGGGGAGAAAAACCTCATCAAGGTTAAACATTAGCCACAAAACTGAGCTAAGTACCAGAAAGGTTCCCGGTCTGAATCTTGCTTCTGCCATGAATTCATGGCATTCGGCAGACCACTGTAGATTAGTCTCAGTCCTGCCGACTGCAATGTGAGGATAAGAATACGGATCTGTCTTACAGGGTTGTAAAGAGTACAATAAGATTTTTGATGGGATCCAAAGGTGTTTCTTTTGCTTGTGGAAGGAAGCGTTCTACAAATGGGGGGAAACACTGTCGGCCGTTTGGATATTTGAATGTGCTATGCCAAAGAGTATCCCTTTCCCCGCCAGCCCCCTTAGCTTGGAGGAGTTAAATCACCTTAGCTCCTATGCTGTCGTGGAATAGCAGATGTCGTGGACTAGCAGGTAGGAGCCCTTTTGGAAACCTCAGCCTGAACTTCTTAGAAGTTACTTGTCTGCAAAAACGCATACACCCTCCCCAATACACAGACAAGAGAAACCTTTTCTGTCCCCTAAGAACAATAGAAGGGGGAGAAAAACCTCATCAAGGTTAAACATTCAGTATGCAACATTCTCTTAGAGCAGCTATGTAGAATTTTTCCTAATGCAAGGATTACTTTTTGACTCATTCTTTTAGAATGGCTTTCTCTCCGCAATTGATGGGAGAGCTCCAATCCTTCTGAACGAAGAAGGTACCCGAAAACGCATCGGAATATTTTAAGGAGGACATAGTCTTCCCTACTCATTAGAGGAGTGACAGACATTTGTACATCAAATTTCTAACTCCTCAGGAATCTCTTAACGCCAATCCAAGCCCTCCCCTCCCCGATGTCCTCGAGTTCTACCAAGGCCTCCACAATGTGTGGGAGGGCTTCGGTGCTGCCTTTTTGGGGGTTAGTTGCCGGGCTGAAGAAGGAGCTGAAGAAGAGGCCTCCTCTTTGGCAGCGGCTGCCCAGGGCTTCTGGAAGTGGTTCAGGAGTTTGAGCTGGGTTTCGGTGTTTGCCGAATGAGCAGCCAGGAACTGCAGTGTTTCTTTCAAGCAGGAGGAATAACCTTTGCTATAATCCTGGGTTATGTTTTCAGGAGACAGAGCCATCGCTGTGAAAAAGAAGGAGAGAAAGGCAAGATTTAGATACTGGGTCGTTCGAAGCAGGATCAAGATCTTCCACTAGCAACCGGTTTGATCAAAAGGGTATATTCACAGTAAGGACGAGTTTGAATTTCTCATCCCTGCCATCTTGTTCCCACCCCCGTTTCAATTTTTCTTCCCTCTTGTGCAAGCCGAATCTTGTGATTTTGTGACCATGTTCCGTTTCTTTGCACCAAATCCCCCCTTCCATTAAATTTATGCATTTTGGTATATTATTTGCAAGTTAATAGATCGGCCTGATGCACATAGTATAAATGATGTACACTGTACATATAAATACTCTATACTTTGCATTGCAAAACCATACAATGTAAAGAAGCCTACTTAAAATGGGACTGATGGTCATTCCCGTCTCCAAAGAATCTTAAGAAATTGGGTTTCCTGAGTGGACAAAAAAGAATTCTCAGAGCCCTCACCAAACTACACTTCCCAGGATTCTTTGCAGGGGGGAAGCCACACCAATCACACTGGTATAGAAGAGACACAGGTTGGTTAGAAGTGCGGATAGCCTCGTAGTGGAAACAGTACTCACTTTGGCTATAGTTCAGGTAGCTGACAGTCATCTCCAGAACATCTGCTTTCTCAAGCTTGGAGTTGGGCTGATGTTTCTGGAATTCCTTCTCCAGCAGAAGTTTCAGCTGCTCGATGCTGCTGTTGATCCGATCACGGCGCAGTTTTTCCACAGGGAGAGAAACAGACAAAAGTTTAGCGACTGTGCTTCCTTGCGGTCCGTGCTGTCTCCTATGGCAGAATCTGAACATTCTGAACCACAAAAATAAGAGATGCTTACTCTGTTTTTCTCTTTGGAGGCCAAGATTTCTAGGGAGTGAGCATGGGCAGCAAGTGCCATGTTATCACCAGGCGCACGAGTGACTGTTTGGCTTCAGATGTGCTGTCTGGAAAGGGCACGAGCCCCCGGCTTCTATTTATACCCGAGAGACGCATACAAATGTATGGGGCCAGAGTCTCTCTCATTTTCCCACACTCCCTGGCCAATCCGGGCCTCGCTCCGGAACAATAGGGGAGGCATCTATTACAGCATAGTAAATTGACTGTGAATCGCCTTGGGATAATACCCTGCTCCCCAAGGAGCAGGTGGAGTGGGGAGCGTGGGTCACAATAAAGACCAGCTTCAAGAAGGATGGGACAGAAACGTGGGAAACCTCCGGCTCCCATTATCATCCGGCTCAGAGGCCTAGCGTTGGGAGCGTCAACAACTCAATATGCTGCCTTTTTCCCAGACTTGGGCAAAAACACTCTTTAGTAGGCCAACTCTCAGGATGGGCTCGGACTGGGGGGGGGGCTCCTTTCCCCCCCTCCCCTTCCAACTTGCCTGTCTCCAAAAGGATTCCCATAAAGGGGTGTGAAGCAAACAGAATGAGAAAGACTGAGACCTTTTCATTGACATTAAAGTGTGCTTAAATGAATACAGTGTGGGTCAATTTTCGGCAGATAGGAATCAAAATTTAAAAAGAAAAACATATGTTCTTTGGGAGTTGGGGGGGAGGGCTGTTTGAGAATAGTACGTAGCGGGAAAAGCCCATCCGAAGTTTCGTTTTCGGCCTCACACACATTGGGGGTTTTTTTTAGTGTTTTTAGTTATTGCAAACATACAAATACTTGCATATGAGAGAGTAAATAGGATGGGCTTTTTAAAAAAAAACTGCATCCAGTATAATTCTGAGCAGATTAATACTCTTCGAAGTGCACAGCAGTCAATAGGCTTAGAAGGATATGTATTCCTGTACAGCTCCTGGCACTCAGTGGAAGGAAGTAATAAAAATAGCAATGGTAACAATAGCTTTGTAGACAAAGATAAGGGGGGCAGAGACTCTCTCAAAACATAGAACAATAGCTTTGTAGACAAAGATAAGGGAAGGGGGGGCAGAGACTCTCTCAAAACATAAAGGTGCTGTTTAAGATATATCCCAATTCCAAAGTTTTTTTCAATTTTTCACATAAATCCCATGTGCATGTTGCGAAAATGCATGTGACCTCAGTTCCTCCTCTGTAAAATGGGAACAATCATGATTTGCCAAAGACCATTGTGGAGGGGGCAACTGAGATACTGAGTGGAGAGTACGGGGAAAGCAGTTTTACAAAGTTTCTAACGTTCATCTCCATCAAAAATCCATTAGGTGGATTTTCATAAAGAAGAAGAAGAAGAGATTGGATTTATACCCTGCCCTTCACTTGGAGTCTCAGAGTGGCTTACCGTCTCCTTTCCCTTCCCCTCCCCACAACAGACACCTGGTGAGGTAGGTGGGGCTGAGAGAGCTCTCTCGAGAATTGCCCTTGAGAGAACAGCTCTGAGAGAACTGTGGCTTGCCCAAGGTCACCCAACAGCTGCATGTGGAGGAGTGGGGAATCAAACACGGTTCTCCCAGATTAGAGTCTGCACTCCTAAGCACTACACCAAATTGTGAGACGGAGGGGCGGTTCACCCCTGGCAATAACGGGGTGTGTTCATGTGTGTTATGTGACTGTGCATTGTGCCACTGAGGTCCGGATCCCATAATTGCTATCTAGTAGCTCACATAACATTTAGGGATCTCAAAGTGAGACCGTAGTGAAGAATATAACACAATTATTGCCTAGCTAGCTGTGTAGAATACAGTGATACCGATATTCAGGTGCAAAGACGAATATTTTATTGAGCAATCCTAAGTAGTGTTATATACCCACCAGACACTTGAATGTATGTGGAAAGGATGTAATTCTTTTAAAGATCACACAGTTTGGCTGTCAATGTTATTTTCCACTTTTGAAGTTTGAGTTCTGTGTTACTCCGAAGCTTGTATACTTTGACTCCCGAATCTAGCCGAATATAGTCGGTCTAAAGAGCCCGAATGTTTGGATTTATTATCACCTCGCTCAGAATGATGTACCTTCACACCAATCCAGTGATATAGATTAGGCTGAGATAGACGGCTAGGGCAGTTTTGGAATCAAAGAGGCATTTGAATCTGATTCTCTCCCGTTTAGCCACACCACCACACCGGCTCTTTAGATTTCGGTTTCGGTGTCCGCTGCGCCCCTATCCCCAATTTCAGTCTGTCCAAGCTGTTTGATGGAAGGAATTCTGTGTGATCCAGAAGGTTGCAGGTTCCTAACTCTACACACACTGTTCAGGCTCCGGACAGCCTGAGGAACGGTTCGGTGTATGATTGCCATTTCTAGGTTGGGAAATGCCTGGAAGTTTAGTGAACGGAACCTAAGGAGGTAGAGTCTGAGTAGGGGAAGGACCTCAGCGGGGTATATTTGCTATACAGTCCGCCCTCCAAAGCAGCCATTTTTCTCCAGGTGGACTGATCTCTGTCAGCTGGAGATTGGCTGTAACTTCGGGAGTCCTCCAGGCCACACCAGGAGGTTGGCAACCCTAAAGTCTGTGCGCAATAAATGCCTGGTTTGCTTTTGACATTTCAGAAAGCAAATTCTGCCTTTCCCATTGTGCATGGCCAGCTATGGGCTACACTGGACAAGGCGGCGGAGAGGGATAAGGACCCTGTTATGGGGTGGGGCGCTTCCTCCCCTAGGAAAGACCGCTTTGATCGCCTGTACAGTCTGGGAGAAGTACGAAATGAGTGGGCTTCGGTTACGACCGAGCGCCACCCACACAAATGTCCCACAGGACTCCCAGGGATGGCTCCCCCCCCCCCCCAAAGCCATCTCCTTTCTTTCCACACAGGGCTGGCCAGATGGCAGGAGAGGCATGGGCCCTGTGACCAGGCACACGTCTTTTGTCCGCAGTTTAACACCGTGAATGGGGCCGACGTGTGGGAAACGGAGATTTGTGAGCTCACACCATCTGAGGTGAATGGTGAACCAGGCGCAGTGCCCCCAGACAGCCGCCCGAGGGAGGAGGGGAGTGTTACGGATTCCCAAGTTCTCTCCCACCTTCCCTCCTCCTTCCGTGCCCATCAAAGCAGCAAAACCATTATTTAACATCTGCTGGAAGTTAATTCCTCAAAAGTACACACACACACATAACCAGAGGTGCCGGCTTTCAAGAGGCTTCCAAAGCCTCTGAGTAGGAAGGCCTGCCTCTGAACCTCAGGGTCAGAAGGGCTGGCCATGAATGCCAAAGGAAATTTACTCTGTATATGCTCAGAGGCACTTTGTTATTTGTTTCAAACACTCCAGGCTTTAAAAAAAAAAGGTTCCACAGACTTAAATACGTTCATCTTCCTGTTGATACAACTTAAAAGTTAGAGCTGTGTGGTTCAGTTGATGTTATTCACTAAATTTATTACGTGAAGTGCTACTTGACTCATGAGGGGATCCGGTTTTGCTTGGCAGAGTTCTCCTTGAAAAGCCGTTTGACTGGGGAATAAGAAAAACACAAGACTACAGTAGCACCTTAAAGACTAGCAAAATATGTGGCAGGGTGTGAGCTTTTGTGAGTCACTGCTCTCACTTCTACAGAAAAACACAGGCGTCTTTGCTTCTAACAATGTGTGTGGTAACTTTTTTGTTTTCCACTGCCTTAACACTAGCCTCTTGAAAAGGCACCTAGGGCAAACGCTGCATCTTTTTTGTCTTCTGTCCAGGTGCTGTATGCAGTTCTCCCCTTCCCCATTTTGTCTTCACAACAACCCTGTGAGGTGTAGTGGTTAAGAGTGGCGGACTCTAATCTGGGAGAACCGAGTTTGATTCCCCACTCCTCCACATGCAGCTGCTGGCATGACCTTGGGTCAGTCACAAGTTCTCTCAGAGCTGTTCTCTCCAGGGCAGTTCTTGAGAGAGCTCTCAGCCCCACCTACCTCACAGGGTGTCTATTTTGGGGAGCGGAAGGGAAAGGAGATTGTAAGACGCTCTGAGACTCCTTTGGGTAGTGAAGGGCGGGGTATAAATCCAATGTCTTCTTTTTGTAATGAGCTTCCATGGCAAAGGGGGGTATTGGGATTTATCAGATCTCAGAAGCTAAGCAAAGTCAGCCTTGGCTAGTATTTGGAAGGGCGACCTCCAAGGAATACCAAGGTTGTGACACAGAGGCAGGCCAAGGCAAACCACCTCAAAAACATCTCATGCCTTAAAAACAAGTCTAGCTTGCCACCTAGTGGTGCATAATGCTAAAAGAGCTAGAACTTCTGGCTGTCAGACAATCTTGGGGTCTCCTGGCTACTCTACACACAATGCCATACAACAATAATAATCCAAGACCCCACTCTACCCTTTATACCACTTAAAATAGCCCTGTAAGGTAGGCCAGTAGTATCGTGGGAGACTGGGAATGAGACTTGCCTAAGCCCACCTAGTGAGTCTATGGCTGAGGTGAGATTGGAAGCCGGCTTCTTAATGTCTGAAGCTCCATTTCACTCTTCATCCTTTTTTTTTAACAAAAAAGAGAAAAAAGTATTTTCATCCTTCCCTCCGTAATTTCCCCCTCTGGGCCTTCTCTTCAGAGACCTCCTGTATTTGAAAGGCAGTCATAAGGCAGAAGCATAACATGTAAACGATACCACTAGTATTTCAAATTATGGATTTCCTCCTCTCCTCCACCCCCCCCCCGTGCTGCCACCACCTTTCCCTCCATTTCTAGACTTTGAAGAGGCCTTCCATTGAAACGGGAAGCCCTCTTTGGTGTCAGAGAGCGTAACGTTCCCAGCATTTTGAAAAGGCCCGGGATAATGCGGATCGATCAATGTGGTCTCTGAGAAAGTGAACTGCTCCAGATGGTCTATCGGGACAGGAATTGCTGGTCGCCACAATGGGGAGCTGCACGGCGTCACTAATGGGAGCTGAAGCAGGGCACGCTTCCTTTGTCATGCCACTGAATGTCATCAATGGGCAAGAAAGTGTGGGAAACACCAAGAAAGCCAGCCCCACACTCTGAGGTTAATAGGGGCATTGTCTAGAGAGTCTCCCCGGGCCACGGGGTCAGCATAATAAACATCACCCCCAGCTCTGAGGCCCTCACTGGCTAAGGAACATCCATTGGGGTTTTAAAGTCAAGATTTTGTTTTTATAAAGACCAAGGATTTAATAATACTTGAGTTCTGATATAAGATATATTAAACTTGCCAACTTTCTGTTGTCAGGGTATTCCTCTTCCTGTGTTGTCTTATCCAACAGTTAACCCTCTTGAATGGAACTCCTGGATTCTATGGTATACGTGGGCCCAGTTCCAAGTGCTGGATTTTACCATTAACACCCTGAATGATCTGGGACCTGCTTAAGTACAAAAAATTATTTTTGCATTTATGTTCAATTTCGCGCAGGGACGAAAAGACCATTTTTGGCCTGCATTTTTCAATGACGAATGTTCTTTTTTTGTTTGTTTGCTTTGCTTACAGCATTTCAGTGCTGCCCTTACACCGTTTTTACACCAGCTATACTTCCTTTCTTTCCCCCCAGTTCTATGCACCTGGTGAAAAAGTAGGTATTAATTTTAATGGTGATATTTGCATTGGTGGTGCAGTAGTTAGTGTGTCTGATGAACAAGAAGAAGAAGAGGTTGGATTTATACCCCATCCTTCACTTGGAGTCTCAGAGCGGCTTACAAACTGCTTTCCCCTTCCCCTCCCCACAACAGACACCCTCTGAGGTAGATGGGGCTGAGAGAGCTCTTTTGAGAACTGCTCTTTTTCAAGAACAGCTCGGATAGAGCTATGGCTTGCCCAAGGTCACCCAGCAGCTGCAAGTGGAGGGGGGGGATCAAACCCGGTTTTCCCAGATTAGAGTCCGTGCACTTAACCACTACACCAAACTGGCTCTCGAGGTGTTGGGAAACCTGGAGTTGAATCCTACTCTGCTGTGAAGCTTCCTGGTTGACTTTGACTCTGCCTCTTTGTCCAGTTTACTTCAAAGAGTTGTGAGGATAAAATACGGAGAAGCCATAGATGCAGGAGAAAAGTGTAATGGGTAGATGCAGCACAATCTGTACTCTCGCTAGCTCTAAGGAGTCTCAGAGCGGCTTGCAATCTCCTTCCCTTCCTCTCCCCACCACAAGCACCTTGTGAGGTAGGTGGGGCTGAGAGAGCTCTGAGAGAACTGTGACTGAACCAGGGGTCATTTCCAGCAGGACCGCACAGGAGTGGAGCTCCGGCAGTAAAGAGCCCAGGGGGCGGGCACATGCAACAAGCCCCACCCCCTGCTCCCAGCAGCCCTCAGTCAGCACAAGAAGCAGCCAAGTAAATTACAGAGCCCCCCCCGGTCCGAAACAGTCCAGTGGCACCTTTAAGACCAAGTTTTATTCAGGTACAAGCTCTCCCTCCTCTGCGAGGACAGATCTGCAGTCGTCCCCCCCCCCAATAGCTAGCAATCCAAAACAGTCCAGTGGAGCCTGAGCGGTGGGTGTTGCCTTCTGACACACTTCACGTGATGTCAGGGGGTGTGGCATATGCAAATAAGTTATGCTAATGAGTTATGCTAATGAGCTCCTGCACCTCTTTTTCTACGAAATGACCCCTGGACTGAACCAAAGTCACCCAGCAGGCTTCAGGTGGAGGAGTTGGGAATCAAACCCGGTTCTCCAGATTAGAGTCTGCCGCTCTTAATCACTACACCGCACTGGCTCTCTCACAGCCTCTGAAACTTCCATTCCTTCCAGGGGAACTTGTCTCAATCATCTGGAGATCCCTTGTAATTCTGGGAGAAATCCAGGCCCCAGATGGAGGGTAGTAAATAGTCAATACCAACCGTGATATATTTACGAAGGGGAGACCACTCTTTTATAGATTTCCCCCAAAAAATAGATCAATATCAATACTAATACATTTCTGTGCATTCGTATGAGAATGAACTTCAAAAAATGATTCTACAGTGTTGACAAGCACAGTCCAGTAATCTAAAGTTCTTACAGTTCTAAAAGTTCTAAAGTTCTCCACGTAGGGTTGCCAAATCGGGTCGGGGGGCGGGGAACCCCCCGCTTCCGCGGCCCGATTTCCGCCGCAGGGGAATTCCGGCCCGGGGGGACCCCCGCCCCCCAAGCTGCATCACCGGAGGTGACGCAGCCACGTTGCCGACGTTGGGGGCGTGGCTGAGCTCGTCGGAGGGGAAAACCATATGGTTTTCCCCTC